CCCCCACCCCACCCCCGGGTCCCCGCGGACCGGGGCGTCCCAGAGCGGCCGCCCGCAAGGCTGGCTTTCCCGGGACGGCCGGCGTGCAGGCTCGCACAGGCGCCGGGCGACTCCCACACGGGACCCGGGGCGAACACGAGCGCCGCACACGCCGCTTTCGGGGCGGGCCGAGTTTCCTTTGTTTCCCGGGACCTGCCATCTTCCCCCCAAAAGAGAAGTGGGGCCCCGGGCGCCGCAGGAGAGCGCTAGCTCTAGCTCCGACTGTGAACGCCCCCGCGGCGGGGTCCTTGGCGCTCGGCTTGGTCAGAGGCCGGCCGTGAAGGAAAGGGACCTGGGCGGGCTGGACAGGTCCCCTAAGGGACTGGAAAAGGGGGCCGGCTTGCGGGGCTAGCGAGGGGTCCGGGTGCAGAGAAGTCCGCGATCGGCCCGGGGGCGCCCGTCCCCAGCCGCTGGCTTTGTTGCGAGGCAGTTGAGTCCGCATCCTTGGTGCAGCTGCGGAGGTGCCGAGGGCGCGGAGCCGAGGCCGGCCCTTACAAAAGACGAGATTGGGTCACCTGCCCTGCAGGCTGGCTCCGGGGCGGGGACGGGAGACGGCCCACCAGGCCTGCGACCCCTCGCCAGGCACTTCCTGCCCAAGAGCAGCACCACCTCCACCGCGGGGTCCCCGAATCCGCTGGCCCACGAATTCCCGGGACACTTCTTCCGTCTCCCTTGTTGCAGTGTACTTGTTTGTCACGCCTTCAAAGAGCAGAAGCTTTCAGGGATAACGCCATTTACTTTTCCATAGTTGCCATTAAATAATTTAATGAACTGGCGCAAACGGGAGATTAGTCATCATTCTGCAAATTTTAATGGGATATTTTTTCAAGTCATTTTATGGTGAAGACCTTAAACCAAAAGTTGGAATCATTTCATGGTGGGATTTTTGTTTGTTTAAAAATGTTAATTTCTCACCCGGATCCTTCTTTATTTTAGGTTCAGCCCCAGGTTTGTTTGTTTCTTCAGTCTTTAAAACAAATCAAATCAAACCTAGTGAGGCTGTGAATTCGCTCAAATTTCTCACTTGTAGAAGTCACATAAAAACAAGGTTGGCTTTCTGGCAGCAAAATGACAATGCAGTGGTCAGTAGCCTGTCTGGGACGGGACCTTTCTCAGTAACTTTCCACGTTCGGGGTGTGCTTGGGAACACGGGAATTTCTGTTGAGCACCAGTGAACTTTCCAGTTTCACAGTTACCACACTGTACAGAAATGCGGCGGCTCTGCCTGGCTTGTCACTCCTCTCCCGAGGCTAAGGAAGGTTCCCGACTCAGCTGCAAAGCAACTCCGAGGGAGTCTGGAGAGGTGGCCTTCAGAATCTGTTGGTTGAACTAATGCTGGTATTTATAGGATCCATTTACCTGCCGCGCTTTATCTCTTCCCTTAACTCCCCTCTTCCCTCCCCCTCCCTTTCTCTCCCTCCTTCCCCTTGCCCTCCCCCCACTCCAACTTGCTAATAGCATAGAAACAGGACTCTTAGAGAAATTATTAAGGCCACCTCTTGTACCAGGCTTTTTTGGAGGGACAAGATCTCATTGGGTAGCCCAGGTTGGCTGTGAACTAGTGGAGATCATCCTGCTTCAGCCCTTCCAGGGCTGCAGTACTTTTATTTGAGGCAAATAGCCTCAGTTTATTTATCTGTGAAATGGATGCAATATCTTTATTAATGCATTATTGGATTTTGTGTGTGTGTGTGTGTGTGTGTGTGTGTGTCCAAATGCCTTCAGGGCAGGTGTGGCTGGCTTGAGTTGTGGGGATCGAACCCCTGCAACCTGAGCCTGACTGCTTTGTTGAAGCAGTCACTTAAAGAACTGAGCTAAGGGGCAGGCCCCCTATTAATGCATTATTAAAATTTGTGTGTGTGTGTGTGTGTGTGTGTGTGTGTGTGTGTATTATAACAGTGCCCAGTGGTAGCTGTCACTCAATATTCGCTCCTCCGATGAAGGTGCCAGGAGCTATTGGTGCCCCCTTGTTTGCAGCTGTGTGAGTCACAATAGAAGTTTTTGGCTGTCAACAATATGGGACCTATGCTTCAAGTACAATGTCCAGCCCAATAGGCTGCAGAACTCCCAGAATGAGGCACCCTTCCCCTGGGCTAAGGAGTTGCCCCTGGCCTCCTGCTGTGGACGTGATCCAGGAGGCTAGCAGAGGAAGCGATATCCTCCTCTCTGGCTGACCCAGATGTATTTCCTGTACAGCCAGAAACTCAAGAAACCTGTCTGAAACTTTTCCTTTGGGCGTCATTCTCTGAGGTTGCGGGGAGTTTTGGCTTTTTGAAACAAAGTCTTGCTATGTAGTCCAGGTTTTCCTCAAACTTGCCTGGACCACTGGCTGGCCTCAAACTCATAATCCTCCTGAGTCAGCCTCCAAAGTATTAAGATTACAAGTGTGTACCACTATACCTAAGTTCTTGTTTCTTTTTCTTTTCTTTTTTTTTCCTTCTTTTTTCCTGGTTTTCCATGGTGTATCTGCTTTTCCCTTAGTCAATAATAGTTCACGCCACTAAACTAAATGAGAATCTTACCAGTCATCTTGAAGTTTTTCTCTTCTTTTTCCACCTAAGGTACTGGGGGTAAAACTCAGGACCTTCACTCTAAGGCCCTGTAGAGACAGGATCTTACTAAGACACTAAATTGCCCTGGCTGGGCTGAAATTTGCAGTCTTGCCTCAACTTCCCAGAGTGCTGGGGTTACAGGCCTGCACCCCTATACCCAACCAAGGTTATGGTCTTCACTGAGTTTGCGTATGTATTAGCAGAGTGCCTGGCACATAGTAGGGACTCACTTAGCTGCCACCCATTAGAGCCACAGTCATTGTAGTGTAGCTTTCTCTACCTTTCCTGTGTATAACACTTGTCCTTATTTAAAGCATCCTTCCAGGCGACATTTCATTTGTATGGTCAGTAGGGCTGATAACCTTGGTATTGTTTCATTTTTCAGGCAGACAGAAGTTAAGCAAGCTACCCAAGGCCACACTGCCAGTTACAACACTATAGCTAAACTCCCAACCATGATTTCCTGCTTCCCCAGCGACAACAGAGACCATGTCCTGTTCTACCTCATGTCCTCCACACCCAGCACTCAGTCTATATTTTCTGGCTGACTGGACTGGACCAAAAACACAGCCTAGTTTTATTTCAAAGACAAAATAATAAATTTTCTGGAGAAATAGAAGATAATGGGTTTTTGGTTTTGGGAGTCTTTTGGAGACAGGGTCTTGCTATGTAATTTAGGCTGGCCTTAAGCTGTTTGTTTGCTGCTTTTTCTTAGGTATTTGGTACAGGGCCTCACTACACAGATCAGACTCATAGTGATCTTCTTGTTTTCAGCCTCCCCAGTGCCGGGATTACAGATGTGCACTATCCCCCCACACTTGGTTGCCAGCTCAGTGTACCCGAGGGCAGGGCCGGCACAACATGTTACCACATGTTACCAGGGATCAAACCTCGGTTCCTGCACTTGCCTAAGCAGCCACTTAGTCCCCTGAGCTCCCTTGAGCTCAGTTTGTAGCTCAGGCTGGTCTCGAACTTGCAACGATCCTCCTGCTTCAGCCTCCCAAGTGCTGGGATTACAGGTGTGTGCCCCCACGCCCAGCTGATAATGGGTTATATTAGCTGACACTTTAGCAATTTTCAGCACAATGGATCTGAAATATAATGTGAATCCAATAAAGGTTATTCCTTCTGTTCTTTATGACAAAGTATGGTTGGAGGTGTCTGGGTGTAGTAGTACAGGATGGTAATCCCAGCTACATGGTAGGCTGAGGCAGAGCGGAAAGTTGGAACCATCCTGGGCAACTTAGGGAAGCCCTGTCTCACAAAGGAGAAGTGGTGCCGAGAGCGTAGCTAGTGTGAAGACTCTGGGTTCCATCCTCAGTACCTCAAAACAAAATCACATGTGAAAAGTGACTTGTACGATTTGATGCGATTTCCGCAGTTGGCCAGCATTGGGTATTTCCGTTGATCCAGCCTTTCAGCTAAGCTCTGGCCTCCTTCCAGCCTGTTCCAATTATGAGAAGGCAACGAAGGTAAAAGTGAGTTAGCTTTTCTGACTGATGGCCCATTCCCGCACTTAAATCCTCGGCAATCCCTGCCCGAGTCTTTGTGGGGACGTGCTGCCCCCTGCTGGCCACAGACGGCCCTAGTCAAGAGCTCTAGTGTGCTGACTTCATTTAAAAGCCCTGAAGCCTCGTGGTTAACAAGCCACAGTGTGGTCCTCTTACAGTTTGTTTATTCTTCCTCCTCTAAACTCACTCCAATTCTCTCAGGTCTTAAGCTTCATGCAACAAAGAAACAAATGTAAAGACAAAGAATGTGACTATTTTTAGGTATAAATTGAGTAATAAGGCATCTCTAAGCATCCTAGGGTTTTAGTTGCTTCTGTTATTTAAAGAAATGAAAGGCGCCAGCAAGATAGCTCAGTGCTCTGACGCGCCTGCTTAGGCAAGCTCAGGCAAGCGCTCAGGACTATGGTTCGATCCCTGGCCTCACATGCTGTGCCAGCCCCACCCCCAGGGCAGGCTGAGCAGGCCACAAAAAACAAAAGAAATGAAGGTAATCTCTTCGCCTCTCACAACAGGGGAGGCCTGGCCAAAGACATGATAGCATATCTTATTGTAAGACATTATAAAGTAATTTAAAAGTGCAAATCTGTACTGTTGGGGGCAAAGTCTCAAGTGAGAAAAGCAACATTCCTAATGTTACAGGTTCTCAAAAAGAAGCCAGACCAGAGTCCAAATTGAGAATTTAAAATGAGCCTTTAATGCTGAGCTCAGGGCCTTCCCGGCTTCTACTCACACAGGAGAGAAGACAGA